CTAAATTCTCATTTACAAACAGAACAGAGTATTTTGGTAAGATCAGTGTCCCATCTCCACCTTCTCAGAAAGGAAGGCTTCCGTTTTCTGTTTCAAAATGACTTGGTTCCATTTTTTAATAATGGAGTTATGAGTGGAACAAAGATTTTGATTTTTCTTAGCCCAAAACCAGCCCCTCCCCCCCTCGACACCCCAGCAATTTTGTTTTCTGGGAAATTTTGAAGAATTTCCATTCTGAAATGGACCAAAACTTCAAAAAAAAAAATCACAGAATTTCACATGGTGCCATTGGAATACAGGGCTTGATTCTCCATTGCCCCAGCACCATGTGTAGTCACTGGCCCCAGGGCCAATTAGGTGCATCAAAAAACCCAACCAAACCCAACCTCTTCCTTGTGTAGCATTCACACAGGTGTAAATGACCATGAGGTGCAGGACAGCAAAGAATCAAGCCACTAATGCTAAAGAAAAATCAAACCATTGCAATCTGGAAGAAAGGCAGACAGCTGCAAATAGCTCTCGCACACAGCATGGAAAGGGAGCTCTGGGAGCCAGATATGCTGGCAAGGTGCATCATGGAAAAATGAAGGAATCAGTGACCCTACTCTGTTCTCTCATCCCACTTTCTCCTTCCAATAATATCTGCTGTGATCTGGCTATTTGGCAGCAGAGCTGAGGAGAGCAGAAATTAGCTCACAGCATGAGAAAGGGAGTGCCTGGTGTTTATCTTGTTCAGAGGATTCTACGTGACCAAAGCTTCCTGTGGGGATAAGTTAGTCAGTCGCCATTAGCGATATGGCTTCCTGCTAGGAAAGCATCTCCTTTGTCAGCTCACGGTGTCGTCTTTGTCAAGCCAGCAGCCCCCATTCGCCTCTTGCTTACACCCGCTTCAACCTGCATCACTCTGGGGACATCAGCGGAGCCATTGCCAGCTTAGACTGGTGCGAGTGGGGAGAGACCGGGCCCTGGGGCATTTTCCAGAGCCCTTCATGCTTTGGCCAGGTTCTCAGGCCTTGCTTAGTAATGCCTCCCTCTCCGGGCACCTCTTCCCAGGCCCCTGGAGACTGAGCATCTGTTCTCAGATTGCTGCACTCAACCTCCCGGTCTGCCTCTTGAGACTCCAGCCCTGGCCTCAGCCATGGTCGCTGGTCCCGTAGAGGCTAAGATGGTGACTCCAGGTCTGACCTCTCCATCCTTCCTCATCTCTCTTGGGGACACATGTATTACTCCTCTCAGAGCCCCCAGCAGCCCACACTGATCACATCATCCAACAGCGCAACCCCCCGCTGCAGCCCAGAAGCGGGAAGAACCACTCAGTTACAGGACAGCGGTTCAGCCCCTTAGCAGAACCCTCCCAGCCATCAGAGCAGCCCAGGGTCAAACAGCCATTCTCTTAGCCCATAGGCAGCAGCTCTCCCAACTGACCCCAGAGCCAAGCCAGGCTCAGCATTGTCTCCCCCTCAGCAGGCTGAGCTAGCAGGCGCTGTGGTGAGCCAGACTCACCATCTTCCTCCTGCCCCCATTTCCCTGCTTTGGGGAGGAGCCTCTGTTTCCTTTGACATATTGGGGAACAAGGGGCTTAGGGAGCAGAGAGCTCTGCCTTGGCTTTGGGGAGCCAGCCAGCCCTGCTGCTGCACATCCATGCAATGGCTTCTTGCCACTGGGCTCCGGCCCATGCCAGCAGCACACAGAAAATCTTTAAGCCATAAAGGTCTATTAGCAGCAACAGGCCAGCCTGCAGATGGGCACCTGAGCAGAGCACACACCACTCAGCTCTGAGTTTCCAGCAGTGCCCTCTCCTGCTGAGTAAAGGGGGGGGGAAACCCACTTCCTCTATGTGCCCCTGCTCTTGGTGGAACACTCCCAGAGCAGGCTGAACTGAACCCAGCATGCACCCCCATGCAGCCGTGACACCCCATCCTCCCTTTAGAGCAAAGCACAAGGGGGCGGTTACTGGCCTCCATCCCCTGGTAGCTATCACTTGATGAGCTGCTGTTGGCTCTCACGGCTCCCCCCACCTCCCTGGCCCTGCTGCTGCCCGATGAAAGGTTGATGAGCAGGCTTGCGAGAATCATGTGCCTCAGCCAGCACAGCCCTGGCTTGCAAAGCCATGGGGAGCCGAGTGTATTATCCACAGCTCCAGCCTGAGATGACCTTGTGCTTCTGCCAGCATTTAAACAAAATATTTTAAAAAGGTGGTGGTGGGAGGGGAAGCCTTTCCTCCCTCTGTAGTCACAGGGCTTTCTTGGGGCTGCCAGCTATCTCTGAGACGGATATAGAGCACAGCCAGAGACAGTGAAATATTACCCACATTTATTGCTTTTATTATTAATTAATTAATTATTAAAGGGAGGGTCTTATTTCCAGTCTAGGGGCTTGAAAAAAAAAAAAAAAAAACTGACTCTCACCCCAAGCTCTCCTCTTCCAGCCAGCAATGCAGCTCAGCGGTATGTGGCAAAGCCCATTCCCGAGCACAAAGGATCCGTTGCTTTCTGGCTGGGATAAACAAGGGACCTAGGCAGGGCTTTCGGATGGATTTGGAAAATGCTACACCCAACTCCATTATCGGTATTGCTTTAGAGTCGGCAGAGAAGTCTGGTTCTGACGGGGGAGTTGAGCAGACTGGTACAGGGCACACCATGCCTAAGGCATGTTTGCCGCTACAGCCAAGCCTGGGATGCCAGTGGATGGAAAACATCCAGACTCGCAGCAGTAAGGGTTTAGAAACCTAAGTGTTTTGGAAGGGATAAACACATCCCTGCTTTGGGCCAGGAGTCAGCCTCTAGCTAATTGGGGGACAACCCCAGGGGCAGGTTATCCCATCACTGCTAGTGCAGGATTCTTTCCCCTTCCTCTGAGGCAGCTGGTACCGGCCCCAGGCAGAGGAGACTGGTCCAGATGGACCTGAGTCTGAGCAGGCAAAGCAATTTTAATGCTTTTTTTTGGGTCCTTACCCACTGATCTTGATCTATTGACTGGCAGTAGGAGGCTGGGCTGCCCTGCTGATTTCTGGGATGTGCTTCCATAGGCAGGAAAAAAGGGGGAGAGACTGTCAGTGAATATTGAGGGCAGATCCCTCCACCCCCTTAATGTGTCACAAAAAGACTAGGGCAAAAATTGGGGATCTCTAGAGCCCAGGGTCACTGTTACCCCCAAAATACGCTGCAGGGCTTCTAACCCTATTCCACGTGGCCAGCTGAGACCTCGGAGTGCTGTTTGCTCTGATGTCACTGCCTCCGAGCCCACCGCTGCTGTGCTGCATGTCTGTTTCATCCAGCTGTTGCTTCCAGTCAGCCCTGTGGGTCACGATCTCTGGGGCAGGGACTGTCACCTTTCTAGCTTGTCTGTACTGCACCTAGCACAGGAGGGCCTGTTCCTCGATTAGGCTCCCAAGGGGCTGCAGAGTAGAAATGAACTAATGGTAATAATCAAGTCCTGGCCATGCTGGTTCGTGTGTTCGCCCCACTGCTCTGAGCTGGAAAGAGCTTTTTGATCAAACCCTGCTGCTGCCAGCAGAGCTGGATTCGTGCGGCAGGAGGGACAGGCAGGGCTAGAGGGTTTTGCATATCAGCCTGTTCCATCAGCTGCCACCGCAGTAACTTATCCCCTGAGTGGAAAGTTCACCAGGCTTTAGCAGACAAATGTCACTTTTGAAAGCGACTGCCTCCCTCGTGCACCTGATTGCAGCATCTCAGAAGGGGAGCCTGCTCCACGGGTTTCTTTGCTTCCTACAGCAATAATTCAGGTCGAGCACACAGCTCCCCTCCTCCCATTCTGGGCTTGGTGCAGCTCAGGGTTATTTTGTTAGACACAAAGTCCCTGATGGCTCAGTACTGCAACATCCCCTACACCCTGCCAGTCTGGTTTAATCACAGCACTGGGAATCGGATTCAAATCCGAGCAGAGCACTCCAGGTCTCCCCGTGAAGTACAATGAGCGGAGCACTGCCTCCCAAGGAGGAGGGTCTGCTTGCCAGTAACACACGCAGATCCTTGTAGGTGATTTTCCCCGTCCTGGCATCAGACAGCGGGGCTAAGCTCACGCCACTGGAAATCAAGATTGAATCCCTTCTGCATCGAGTGCACCACTCTTAAAGGGCAAAAGTTAGACCTTTAATAAGCAGCCAGGTAGGAAGAGTGGCAAGTGTGCAGCAGAGATGTGAAATGGGGGGGGGGGGGAGAGAATCACCACCTTTGTGCTCCCCACCCACACATTGCTGCAGAAGCATATTCCACCCACCCTCCCTGTCATGATTACTTCATGCCATCCTGCTCATGGGGAAAACTGGGTTAGCCCCCAGCCAATGTTCTCCCAAAGCAGTCATAAGTCAAGCGACTAGATCAGCTTCACCAGTAGGAGGCAGCACGGTCCCTCCCAGAATGGCTTCTGGCATGCAGGGAGGAGAGGAAGGATGGGGAGGCTGAAGCAGCAGGTTGCCTGCCCAGTGGCGTAATCCAAGACTCAGCACAAGAGGGAGAGGAATGGGGCACACCAGGCTTACCATGGTGTGAGCAAGATCACACAGAGTGAATTATTATTTATTTATTTTATTAATGGAAATATCCTATCTCCTAGAACTAGAAGGGACCTTGAAAGGTCATCGAGTCCAGCCCCCTGCCTTCACTAGCAGGGACCAAGTACTGATTTTGCCCCAGATCCCTAAGTGGCCTCCTCAAGGATTGAACTCAGAACCCTGGGTTTAGCAGGCCAATGCTCAAACCACTGAGCTATCCCTCCCCCCCCCATTGCAAGGAGACCTGACTGCCAGTCCTGCCCCAACCCTTCGCCAGTAGATCCCTCTCCCTGGGCCAGAGCTAAAGCAAGAGTCCAGATTCCTGGTTTTTAACACCAGACCTCATTCCCCTCCCAAAGCTTTGAATAGAACCCAGGAGTCCTGACTCCCAGTCCCCCCTGCTCTAACCCATTGGACCCCACTCCCTGAACACAATCAAGTGCCTGCACTGTGCTGATTTTTCACAGTGTATTTTCTCTTTCTACAGGTACATCGGGGCACTGGGGGCAAGGGTGATCTGCGATAACATCCCTGGATTAGTCAACAAGCAACGGCAGCTCTGCCAGAGGTACCCTGATATCATGCAGTCCGTCGGGGAGGGGGCCAAAGAGTGGATCCGGGAATGCCAACACCAGTTCCGGCACCACCGCTGGAACTGCAGCACGCTGGATAGAGACCACACGGTCTTCGGGAGAGTCATGCTACGCAGTAAGTTCTGTCAGCTTTGCCTTTCCCACCCAGCCCAGGGTAAATTATTGCTCAACTCCAACCTGGATGCATTTGTCTAAGGGAGGGGAATTTGGAGCGCGGATTGAAAAATGCCAGTTATTTTTTGTAGGAAATTTTGAAGAACTCTTTTAAATAGATGTTTCCCCTCTGCAATTTCTCTGGGGTTTTTGACCAAAATATGAAACTGAAGAGCATTTTTTAACCAAAAAATGTTTTCAAATGTTTTCCCATCAAGAACCAAATTGGGTTTTTCCACCAAAACTGAATGTTGATGGAAAGACTGACTGGCTCTACTCTGCATACAGTGGCAGAGAGAAACCTGGGCATAGCCCTAAATACAGGAAGAGGGTGGACAATTTCTGTGTGACAGAGGAAAGGAGTATTTGCAGAGAAGGTTATTAACTAGGATCTATAAAGACCTTGCGTAATGCACTGGAAGGAAAAGAAAACAATCTAGTCCCTCCCTCTAGATTTAGGAGGAGCTCTGCATTTAAGTTCTTTCATATCTGAGTCACCGAGTATCTGAAGGCGAGGCTGGAAGTTGAGAACCCACAGGGAGGGGAAAGGTTTGCTAGAGGATCGGACATTGATGTTCCTAGCCATTTGACAATTGGGTTCCTCCCCATCCAAAGGGGGAGGGGGTGTAATCCTAGAGAGGCCACAGGCAGGCAGGCTGCACAGTGCTGCTGCATGTCACATGGGGGGGAAAAGCAATTATGCAGCAACCTAGGAAGCCAAGGGGCCGACTGGCATTTCCACCACAGTCCATTCATAGCAGGTACAGCGGCTGGGTCGCTTTAGACACCTTTGCAGAGCTGATCTCCAGCATAAGTCAGAGCAGCCTCAAGGCAGCTCTAATTTAGACTCAGCTCCCTATGGCCCAAAGGGACCAGTCCAGCAGCTAAGAATCACCAAATGCAGAAAAACCCTCTTTTCACCAGCCACAGCCCTGATGCCCCATAAACTAAGGGCACTAATGGGGAAGGGGCTATATAGCCACTGGTCAGCCCTGTGCCATCCAGAGAATCCCCCTGTGCCAATGGGTGTGTCCCAGTGGCCAGATCTGCTGGCTTCACAGCCCGTTTCTTGTACCAGAGTGATGTAATGGGACCACCGTAGCACACTGGTGGCTCAGGCACCAAAGGCGTAACAGGCAGGGAAGAGGCGAAAGGGTGGCTGACAAAGGAAAGTGTTACTTTGCAAGCACATAGGGGGATCCCAAAGATCTGCTTTCACTGAGGATCCCTGGCTCCTTCCCTCACAACTTAACCTCATTGAAAGTCAAGGCACTCTGTGCCAGGGGATGTCACATCCCCTGTCTGACAGTCTCAAGCCCCTTCCCTCCCAGACTCACCCCTGCAGCCTGTGGCCCCACCTCCTGTTTTAAAAGAGCAGCCAGTTCCCACCTCACTTGCACAGGACTCTGAGCACCCCAGAACCCTGCAGCTTGTCCTGCTGGACACCACCACGGCCGGGCTCATCTTCCTAGCCCTGCTCCAGCCACTGACGCTGCCAGACCTGATGTGAACTCAGCAAGCTTCTGCCCGTCAGCAGGAAGACAGATGCCCAAATGCCCTTGGTCGGCTGACTTGATGGGAGCTGTGGTTCACACCCATCCAGGGGACAGTTGGGTCTCTAACCATGCTGTGCTAGGTTTCAGTAGCAGCCAGGGCAGGATTCTTCCCATGTACCCAGGAAGAAATCCCAAGCAGTGCAGCACCCGCCCTGGGAAGGAGGATGGCTTTGTGCTTGAGGCATTGCACCAGGATTCAGGGCAGCTGGGTTCATTCGGGCTCTACCATCAACTCCCGGGGGGGACCATGGCATTGGCACCAGATTCCGTGTGCTCAGCCTCCAAAAGGGACACTTATGGCCAGACAGTCAAAAGAGCCCAGCACCCGACATGCCACGCTTGGTGTTCCAGCAGGCACCTCCAGGGCAGTGTGGTAGGGATTGTACCTCATGGAGCAATGCCCAGCTGAAGAGTGGTTCCGACAAGGTGAAGGCATATTAACCCCCTTCTGGAGTCTGGCAGACACACCCTGTGTCCATTGCTACTGAGCAATGTACCCCTGGGGGTACATTACACACTCACACTCCCAGACCTCAGCTATACCCAGAGGCTAAAGTCCCCCCAAAAAGCAGAGCCCCAGGGCCTTCCCAGACAATATTCTCCCCCACAGTCAGCAGTGCAGCCAGCCCCTGATTCCCTTGCCCCCTCTATCCATCAGCTACGTGCTCTGGTAACACCGGCAGCTCCTATTGTGCCAGCACTCAAGAATCACTTAGGAACCTCTTCTTTTCCCTTGTTTCTCCGTGGCTAGGCTGCCATGTGTGGTAGGCTGGGTTACTTCCTTCGAAGCGGGACTATTCTCTAAGCAATCAAGCGGTAACAGGAGCCTATCGCTGCTCTGGGACAGGAGTGGGTGGGGGAAAGGAGACACCTCTGAAGAACAGGCTTGTATGTAAACAGTAATGGGATATATAAATATTTGGAGAGCAGGGCTGGCCAGGAGTCAGCTGCTCACATGGGAACTTGCTGTCTCCCTACGTGACAGGGAAGCCAAGACGGAGAGCAATTAGATCCCAGGACAACCACAGCTTTGGGTTCCAGAGGAGTGGGCCATAGGCCTGGCACTGAAGTGACACCTCCCTGTCCCCCCCGATATAGGGACAGGGGGGACAAAGGGTGCATTGTACCATAAATCAGAAGGCAATAGCCATGGGTGCAGCAGGGGGACTGCATCCTTCTCTGAAGCCTCCAGCATTAGCGGCTGAACTAGACAGACCATTATCTCACAGCACTAAAGCAGCCTAGTGGGACCATTGCGCTGCTCTAGAGAGTGAGCCAGGGAGGAAGGATACGGACTACACAGACCATCCATCTGACCTAGTGCTTCTGGTCTCCACGCCCTGGCTGCAGGTAGCACCGCCAACTCGGAGCTTTCACAAATCATGACTCTGGTCCCCAAATATCACGAGATTACTTTAAAAGCCAGGGGATTAAAAATAGTGAGTGCTGAGGTCTGTTTGCCACCTGGCCTGTGAGCCTATAGGGGCCAGGTTTTCAGGCCAGTCTCCGCTACCAGGCACACTAGAAAGTTCCCTCTAAAAAAAACAAATCAGATTCTCACATAGTACCACAACTCCAGGAGTTGGGGCTTTAAGAAAAAAACACCAAATCCCATGAGACGTGATGAAGTTACAAGAGTTAGGAACACCATGAGCTCAGTGGGCAACAATTTGCATCCTGCATGCCACAGAGACCATGCTGCACTGATCAGATACTGTAGCTCCTACCTCCATGGAAATGACAATAACCAAGGTTAGAGTGTCCACAATGCCCCCCAGCCCCCATTAGCAGTCCAAGTCCAGGGGACCCCAAAAGGCTCATTTCTTTTAGGGTAAGAGTTCCCAGCCTGTTGGATACACCTTGCACCAGAAAGATACAGGCATCTCCTGGGAGCAGAGGGAAGTGTTTGCTAGGCAGAAGAGCAGGTTGGCACTCAGCTACTCTGAGGAAAAGGAAGAGCAAGGAGGGAGAGGGGTGTGGCTCAATGGAGCCACAAAACTGCCCAACAGAGCAACAAGACCCAGCTCAGAAAAGTTTGAGCCAACGATACCAAGACTTATTTTAAATAAAGGCCACTAACAGCAATGAATACCTTTAATAATGTCAATCAAGCAGAGCCAAGCTCCTCTAGGTGACTCTTCCTCCAGCAGCCATAAAGAGCTAGCTTGCAGTTGCCAGTTTTATAGAGGGCTTCCTCACCCAGAACCCTTTGCAGGGAAGGGAAGTCCCGCCCCTGTTTCTCTGGGTGATTGACACCCCATCCAGCCAATCAGCTCTCTTTTCCTCACTCCTGGTTCTGCAAAACTTTCACCCCTTCACAAGGGGTTCTGACACCCAATGCTCTCTGGATGGAGTGTTTTTAATTCATGTATGATCAATTGTGAATGAGGCTGGAACCAGAATGATCTAGCAACAAGATAGATGATCCTGTCCTTTCCCACCCTGCCTGCCCACCTGCCCCCCCCCCCCAATACACTGGGTCATGTTCAGCCACAGGGCCTGGAGGCCAAGATCAGCTGGGAAGGTGCTTTCCTTCACCCCAGATAACTCATCTGGAGAGTGTCTGAGCACCCCTGGGTAGGAGGCAGAGGCACTGGCACCCTCACTGCACATCAGGGACTGGCTAGGAGGCAAGGAGGAAGGAGCTAGCTAGACGGAGAAAGATCCCAGTGCGGGTTACTGGAGGGAAGCTTTCTGGGTGGGAGGAGACAGAGGGGGAGCACTGTTGGCTGCAGCCTGCAGGAGAGATGGGTCTGGGGAACTGCCCCAGCCCCTGACTGAGACACACTTGCTGCTGGGTCAGAGCCTTCCTGTCCCTGCAGAGCCAAGGGCAGAGGCTGGGGTTAAACCTGTTGGAGTTATGGGCCCCCCACAATCAGATGCAACCAATGGCTTTAAGCGCCTGCTCCCCGAATATGATAGAGGCCAGAGACCTCTGGCCTTCATCCCTGCCCACCCAAACGTTCAGACTGCAAAGCCTGTGACACCTGGAACTCCCTACGCTGAGTCCAGGGGCATCCTCCATAGCCCCAGTGCCTCCCCTGGGGCCTGGCACACGACAGCCTGGTGGGTAGAGGAGTCGCCCACCCTCTGGGATGTCCCACCTCTACCCCTGAGCCAGCAAACAGCGAGCAGCAGTTCCTGCCCTGGCAGCCCCGGGGACCACCCCAGCCTGCGTAAGCAGAGGCAGCAGGTGTGCAGGAGCAGGGAGCCTACATGGTGGCTGGAGCTGTATGTGTGACACTGGGCTGGGCACACACCCTGCCATGCCAGGTCACCATGCACGGGGCATTCACCCTTTCCCGGGCACCTCTGATCACTGTCCGCAGAGCAGGCGTCCTGCCTAGGACGCCAGTCCTCTTCCTGCCTGCTACACAGCGCCAGCGGCTGGCGCTGGGGTATGGACTGCTCGCTGCTGGCCAGCAAGGGGTTCAGAAGGCCTGTGGCCCGTTGGGTAGGGCTGGATGGATTACCCTGGGCAGCCCGGAGCTTTGGTTCATAGGTTGAGAGCAGAGAGATTGTGACCCTGTGTCCCCGAGCCCCCACGCACCCAGGTTTGTTGGGAGAGCCAGCGAGGATGGAGAGCCGACAGGAGCGCTCTTGGCTTTGGTACCTGTCCCCCAGCCCTGGCCAGGTACCCAGAGAACTCTGTTCTTTGAGGCTGTGTTTGAAAGGGTCCCTCCTCAGTGAACCGCTGCATGGTTTTGATTTGCAGCTGCTTTTACAACTTATAAAACCAGCTGTGAACTCAAACCAGAACCATAAAATACCAGGTGGCATCCTGTGCTGCTTGGGATGTCCTGCAGCCTGCCCATTCGCAGCTCCGGCAGGCTGGGATTGTAAGCGCTTCCCAGCACAGGACGGGGAGATCAAAAGCTGGCTGCTGTCACTGCCCGAGAGGGAAGGGCTCCTCTGCTCTGGCTGCAGCAATGGGAGGAGAGGGAATGGTGGGGCAGATTGAGGTGTGAGGAGCTGGGAACTCAGCTAGAGATTTGAATATATGTACAGCCAATGTCCTGCAGAAGGCCACGCTCTCCGACCAGGGCAGACACACCAGGCATGCCCGGGGAATTACCCCGAAAGGCACAACAGTTGGTGTCTTTTCTAGCTAAACCTCAGTCTTCCATCCCATGTTGCCATGATACACCCCCCGCCTTCCATCAGCTCCGCTCTCTGGCCTTTGTCCCTTCCCAGTAGGGCCCAGCCCTTGTGCTTTCAGTCTGCCGCCTCCAGGGCAGTTCCCCTCTCAGCACCCTAACGCCCTTGGGTCTCTCCTCCATCACACTGGCCATGGCATCCCTCTCGGGGGCTGGACTGTGCCCCCAGGTTCCACTTCGAGCTCATGCTTCCCAAGCTCGGCGTTGTGAGGCGAGGGATCTGCCGGGGGGAGAGCTCTGTGCAGGGACCTGCTGGAACCTGGCTCAGCTTTGTTCTTCCATGGGACTCCTATCTGCCGACAGGCCACCCCCTTTATCTCCCTGTTCCTTCCAGGGGCCTTAGACTCTGACCTCACCAGATGGCCGCTCTAGCTCAAGCACATTCCGAACAGGACCTCAAGCTCTATGCTCATCAAAGCCGCCCACCACTCATTGTCATCCCCGGGAGCTCCCTCTCTCAGAGCCGAGTTACACGGCTCCTGTGGTGCTCAGGGTCTCTGGGGAACTGTCCAGCAAAGGAGCTCTGAACAGGCTGGTGCGAGTGCTGAGTACTGACCAGCAAGGCTTCTGGATAGCCCCCGGGGGGCATCTCCCGTCTCCTCCTGCTCCTCCAGCAGAGGAAAAAGTAAGCTCCATTACGCTTAGCAATGCTGACCACCGCCCGCCCAAAGCCCACCGTGCAGCACCGCTGCATTGCTTCCCGGACTAGTTCACACTCACACACCCCGTTAACAGTCCGCCCTTTGGGCCCACGTCCCCTGGTTGCTTTTTAACGTGGTTACAAAATGAACGGGGGGCGGAATGATCCGCTGGAGTTCTTCAGTCAGGCCGCAGGACGGGTCTTGGGGCCTGCAGAGCACAGCGGCCCGTGGCTCAGCTATCCCAGCACGTTAGCCTGCGCGCAGAGTCCCTCGGAGGGGTAACACACGGCGGTTATTTGTTTTTCAGTAGCTGCTACAGGGCCCAGTAAGATAGTGGGGGGCCTTTGTGCTGGGCACTAAAAGAGAGGCCCTGCCCACAGGGCTTTCAGGAAGCATGACACGAGACAACAGGTGACTCCCACAATAAAAGGAATGGCAGGGACCCAGGTAAACTGTCCTAATTACCAAGCCGCCGAGATCCTAGCCAGGCAGGGGGTGGGCTGGCATGTGATAGGCAGGCATCCCGGCAGAGCCAGCAGTGAGGGGGCTATAGGGTTGCCAACCCTTCAGGATTGTCCTGGAAACTCCAGGAATTAAAGATGAATCTTTAATTAAAGATTATGTCATGTGATGAAACCTCCAGGAATACATCCAACCTAAATTGGTAAGCCTAGGGGGCTAACCTGGTGGCTGTGCAGCTGTTTGGCGGGACCGTGGGCGGAAGCATTATGGCACTTGAGGGAGACGTGGAGGTCGGGCGATAAAGGCCAGCGCTGCCAGGCTGCCAGTTCCTCCCTCCCAGTGCAGTCGTCACCCCCTCGTTGGCAACTACCGGGCTCTGCATGGCCCCGCCCCCCGGCTCATGCCATGCATTGCTCTTGCTGGGCAGCGTGATGGGGGACGAAGCGCAAGCGCTGCTAGCCAGCCCCCGGGTGAGGTGCCCCACTCACACTGTTTGGGCTCGCAAGCCAGCCGTGACCTTAGCAGTCCAAAGCTGAGCTAGCGCCAGGTCAGCTCCAGGCCCTAGTGTCCGAGCATGGCCATGAGGCAGACAGGGCAGGCGTGAGCAGCGCCAGCCAGATGCCTCTGAGCTAGGCTGCCTCGTGCGGTAGGAAGATGGAGGCCGAGCAGTGCCCACCTGGCTGTGGGATGAGCAGACGGGCGGAGCTGGGAGGAACTGGTGGCCCCCAGCCCTGTGAGTCTGTTTAGCCAGGTTCAGTTGAGGCCCTGCCTTTTCCCAGCCGGAGTCCCCGGCCTGTGGCCTTGGCCGCTTTGATGCCCGTGGGCTCAGTGCATGGAGCAGGGGGGCAGAATGAGGAGGCAGGCGCTGCGGGGCCCTGTTGGAGGGGCCTCGGGGCAGCCAAGCACAGCCATGCTTTATACCTGGGGATGTCTCTGAGGTTTCCTGCTCTCATGGGGCTGCCTATGCCCGGGCCCGGTGCACACCCTCAGGCCTGTCCCTCGCTCCCCCCGGCAGGCAGCAGAGAGGCGGCCTTCGTCTACGCCATCTCCTCGGCCGGGGTCGTCTACGCCATCACCCGGGCCTGCAGCCAAGGGGAGCTGAAAGCCTGCAGCTGCGACCCCCTGAAGCGCGGCCGCTCCAAGGACGAGCGAGGGGAGTTCGACTGGGGCGGCTGCAGCGACAACATCCACTACGGGATCAAGTTCGCCAAGGCCTTTGTGGACGCCAAGGAGAAGAAGGTGAAGGACGCCCGGGCGCTGATGAACCTGCACAACAACCGCTGCGGGAGGACGGTGAGTACCAGGGTCCAGGCCCGGGCCAGCGCCAGAGCCCGGCGACCGCAGCCGGCCCAGGCCACCACCCTGGCCCAGGCCACCACCCTGGGCCAGCTTGCAGCCTGAATTCCTACCCTGCAGGGCCCCTCTGCACCCAGTAGCCAGGCTGTTGCCGAGCTGTGGGCACAGCCGTTCACACCCCCATGGGGCCGAGCACCTAGGGACAGCATGGGGCACAGGAACTGAGCAGCCGCTGTGCCAGGCCGCTTGCTGCAGCCCCAGTCGGCCACTGGAGCCTGGCAGGAAAGCAGCTTCCCTGCTTAGCTGCGGCATCTCCTCCCCAGCCGGGCGCTCCGGGGTGAGATAGCTGCCAGCTGATTCCCAGCCAGAGGCACTAACTCTCCAGTGTGGGGGGGCCCCGATCCAGCCCCCCCCCCCCCCCACCGGCAGGAATGCCCTCGCCTGCCTGGACTCCCCACCCTGGCTGTTTGCAGCCCAGCAGTGCTAGTTTGTGGGGGGAGGGTAAGGGGGCTGGGAACAGCACATCCAGCCTCCAGGGCACAACAGGGCCCCTGTGTTTGGGGTGATTCCCCATTTAACTGGGACTCTCTCAGAGGCAACCAGACTGGGGGTGCCCTCCCCACTCCCCCCCTTGCTGAGCTGCTTGCTTCCAAGCTCTTCTCTGCAGCAAAGCGCCCAGGCTCCTGCACGAGCAGCTGGGAACATGGAGGAGCAGCTAGTGCCGGGTCCCTGCAGACTCTGGGGAGCAGATGGATCCTGTGGGCCACCAGGGCCTGCAGCCCTCCCTGCAGTCCCACTGGCCTCGAGGAAGGCAGAGCCCCATGCGACATCCCCCAGGGTATAATCTGGACTGCTGAATAGCTGTGTCTCCTATCACACTGCTTTACTGGGGAGCAGCCCCTCCTGGCCAGTTCACACACAGCCTCCAACATGTCCCTTGCTCCCAGCTGCACACTACGGAGTGCTACTAGCTGGCCACTCATGAATGACACAGCCGAAGACCACCGGCAGATTCCTGGTCCCAGCCTTGTCCCCCAGAAATGTGCGTCTTGTCCTGCTCAGCACACGGCTGAACAATGCAAGCTCATAGAAAATCCGTCATTTCATCAATGGAACATGATATGCACCAACCTTGTGATCCCAAATGGAGTTTTCTCCACACTTTAATCCAAACACACTGGTTAAGATTAAACAATAAAATACGTTTATTAACTACAGAAAGATAGATTTCAGAGTAGCAGCCGTGGTAGTCTGTATCCACAAAAAGAACAGGAGTACTTGTGGCACCTTAGAGACTAACAAATTTATTTGAGCATAAGCTTTCATGGGCTACAGCCCACTTCATCGGATGCATGTAGTGTAAAATACAGTAGGAAGATATATATATACACAGAGAACATGAAACAATGGGTGTTACCATACACACTATAAGGAGAGTGATCAGTTAAGGTGAGCTATTATCAGCAGGAGAGAAAAAGAACTGTTTGTAGTGGTAATGAAAATGGCCCATTTCCAGCAATTGACAAGGAGATGTGAGGAACTGGGGGGCAGGGGGGAGGAAATAAGCATGGGGAAATAGATTGTAAGTGATTACAAGTGATGATGCATCAAAGTCAGGATTGGTTACAAAAGAAATGAGTAAAATGCCAGCTAATACCTAACTTAACGAGCTAAGTGAACTGAAAAGCAAAAGGTTTTGTCTTGGCATACATTTACAGCAGTCTGTACTGGCTGAAAAGCCAGCCAGGACCACTGCTCTCCCAGTTCAACGATGCTTTCCTTGTCTTTTGAGCATTGCAGCTGCCATGAGCAGTGATGGGGGAGAAAGAGGTGATTTGAGGCCACTGTCTCTCATTCTTACACCACTCTCCCCTCTGAGGATTACCCCCAGCTGGGTGCAGGTGACACGTAGTGTCTTGTGGATGTGAGCATTGAGCAGTCCCTGTGATGAAATGTAGATTTCTCTTTCACATCTTTCCATTGCTGGAGAATGGTCGCTTACAGGGCCGGCTCTGGC